CATACCACACCATACCATACCAGTTGCACCATACCATACCAACCATAGTCATACCATACCATGATCATACCACACCATACCATACCAGTTGCACCATACCATACCATAGTTATACCATACCATACCATAGTTATACCATACCATGGTCATACCATAGCTTTGCAGGATTTCTGCTAAGTTAGTTCAGCTGTTCCAGATGACAACTTATTCCTGTGAGTTCCTTACAACATTCCACTCTGACCAAATCAATTTGGTGTATATTTGATAGCTACATAAAACTTATTTACTACAAGTGTTTCAAAGGGAATAGGGAGGTAGAAGGGATGGGGGATGTTAAAGGGAAGGAAGGGATGTTGAAAGGATGGGGGAATGTTAAAGGGAATGGGGTGTAGGGAACATGTTGATGGGAAGGGGGATGTTAATGGGAAGGGGAATGTTGATGGGAAAGGGGATGTTGAAGAGAGGGGAAGGGGGATGTTAAGGGGAAGGGGTAGAGAAAGGGGATGTTAAAAGGGGAAGGGGTATGTTAAGGGGAAGGGGTATGTTAAGGGGAAGGGGTATGTTAAGGGGAAGGGGTATGTTAAGGGGAAGGGGTATGTTAAGGGGAAGGGGTATGTTAAGGGGAAGGGGTAAAGAAGGGGTATGTTAAGGGGAAGGGGGAGGTTGAAGGGAAGGGGGAAGGTTAAAGGGAAGGGGGTGTAGGGAAGATGTTGAAGGAAAGGGGAATGTGAATGGGAAAGGGGATGTGGAAGAGGAGGGGGATGTTGAAGGGAAGAGGGACAGCGGTGAGCCTCGTCGCCGTTGGTGCGGGGCCCTCGTTCGTTGTCGTCCCGCAATAGCGTCGTATTGTCATTGCGTGCGTCGTATTGTCGTCGCATGCGTCGTATTGTCGTCGCGTGTGTCGTATTGTCGTCGCGTGTGTTGATGTCGCGTCGTTGTCCCAGGTCGTCGTCGTCGCGTCGCGTGTCGTCATCCCGTCGGCGTTGCGTGTCCTGGGCGCATTCCACGTTGTCCGGTGCTGTGTCCGGGCTGCAGGCAGGGGTGGGTAGTGGTGAGCCTCGTCGCCATCCATGGGTCGTGGTGCCGCGTGTGGTGTGCATTGTCGTCACGTTGGTGTCGCGTGTGCTGGTCGCGTCGTCATTCCGCGTCGTGTCGTCGTCCCGTGTCCTGTCTCTCAGCGAGGTGGGTTGGGAAGAAGGTGGGATGGGGGTGCTTACCGGGGTGTTCTAGAACAAAACGTACGACAAACGACGAATTTCAATTCGTCGTTTGTCGTTTGGTTGCCACGTCACTGTCGGTGACGTGGCACCGGGCTTCCGTGTTACAGATGTGAGTGGGTGAAGCTGAGGTGAGTTGCTCACCTCGGCTCGTTGTCGCCTGCGTCCGTTCATAGGCCTCGCGTCATTCCCCTTTGTTTGTTTTGGGCCTTTGGCAGTCGTTTAGGCGAGGGGAGTGGGCGCTCGTCGCCATTCATCGATGGGCGCTCGTCGCCGTTCGTCGGTGATGGGTCATGGGCGCTCGTCGCCGTTGGTGATGGGCGTTCATTGACGGGGTGCTGGGCCCTCGTTTCCGTCCTACGGTGGTGCTGGGCATTTGTTCATGGTGGTGGCTGGCGGCGTGGTTGGTATATTTGCTGATGGTGGAGGTTGGCGTCTGGTTGGCGTCGTGGTTGGTATTTGGCGTGTGGTGGTCGTCGTGGGTTGAAGAGAGAAACCACGTCACATGTTGTGACATTGGCATAACTTTGAGAAGCACACGTGAAAGCCCATGATGCCTGGACTTTCGGCTGTAGCCTCTTATTTGTCTGTGTTGAAAACCACTTGTAATAACAAATCATCATCTGTTCTCCATCCATCTCATTTTTGATGGGGGAATCTCTGGAATGCATGCTTAGACATTACAGTAACTATAATATATTTCTAGTGTGTTATATTACACTAAGGAAGGCAGAAAAACTCAAAATGAACTGTAGATGCTCATTTCGAAGTTTGTTTACATATATTTACCAATAGCTTCCACACAAGCAAGACTACAAAAAAATTGTAGTCTCCTCTTTTTCCATTAGAAAACTTTGTAGTCTCCGCTTTCTGAGACTACAAATTTTGTAGTCTCTGCTTTTTTCTTTAGAAAAGTTT